TAGCAGTGCATTTAACTAAGTCTTAGCACACAGGCAAGTATTTAAAAGCTGGTGTGCCATCATAAATGCAGCCCCAATTAAAACATTCCAAGTGTTTGTGAAGTACCTTAAACTCAGAATCAATTCTGAAGAGGCTGGTTGTTCTTGTATACGGTAACAGTCGCTGCCATACATTCCATACAGTAACTGGCAAGTTGTCTATTGCTGCTCAAATTTACAAACCTAATGTCAGTTGTGAGCACAAATCATGAAAGTTACTGCAACTTTATGCCTGTAGGATCCCAGTTAAATTTTTACTATGACAAAATTTGAAATCAGAAAAATTTAAGCAGTTTTTATACATACTGCTCAGTATCTGTTAAAATGCCTACATTTATATACAGTTGATATTCGGTTGATTTATACATAAATGTAACTGTCATAATGATTTTTAATCAACCTGTATTCAAACTTCAAATGGTTACAAGTTACAAAAATTGCAGTATCTTTACACAACTGAATAAATTTTGAGCGGATCTCGGAAAGAGGAAATGTATACACATTTCAATTTAAACAAAAACTAATACAAATACTGATGAAAATTAGGAAATTCCTTTAGTATGAACTTTTCATGTCCAATCCAATAATATTAATAATAATAATATGAGGTTATTACAAGGATACCTGAAAGTATGCACAAAGACAGTACAGTGGGAGTATCAACCAACACACAGGGAAGGTCGATGCGATGAATAAGAGGCCTGAATACTCATGAAATCCAGAAAATAATTGATGATTTGCTCCCTTTAAAATATCACAAGCCTTTCATCACTGAAACAGCTGAAAAATGATTTTGTTGGTCAATAAAAAATTTGTTTTCTACCAATCTGAATGCTATTACATAACATATCACCATGTATGTTTTCTCATTTAAATAATGCAAGTAGATTTGGCTCATTAGTACATAGATTAACAAAAACTTGATGAAAAACACAGTTCCAGTTAAAACTATCAGCACCTAAGACGACTCAAAATACTAGTAAATATGTTCTGAATCGCAAAGAACAACACGCCCTTCCTAAGTATGCAGAATCATTACAGAACTCTTGGCCTGTACAACATTCATCTATAAAACACCAATAAATCTATGCTAGCTTTGAAAGTTAAGTGTAATTTGAGTTATTCTCTTATGAGCCTAGACCTCCTTACTACCAGCCTGCTATAGATACATGAACTTTCCACATGAGCAGCTGAATCTGTAACCAGCTGTTATCTATTAAATCATGGGTTTAAGATAAGAAAATAAATTTATTGCCAATGGTCAATGTGTCCCTCATTGTATACTTACACACCAAGTTCAAGTATGACAGTTATTCTATATATCCATACATTTATTGGCACATATAGGAACTAAAGTTTGTTTAATATTACGTTGGTTTAAACTTGCTAGGTTACTTAGATGTCTGCCAAAAAAGCTTTCTTGTGTATAGTAACATTGCGTTTTTTTAAGCCACCTATATTGAACAATATATATATTCAGTCAGCAGTAAACAAAGGTTCATATACATTATGAACATCACAAACAAGCAATGTATACTTGGTGTAATACACTACATACAAACAGCATTGGAAAAAAGAAAATCTCTTGCAGATTAAATGTTTATTATTATCTACGGTACATTTTTAATTTTAGATTTTATGTCGATAGCATATGTATTAGACATTTTATTATTTGAACATATTTTGTTGTGATAAAACTTTATTATGTGTGTAAACCAAAAATGAAATGTCAAATTTTCTTTACGGTGGTAATAAAGATTATTATTATTATATAGCATTTAAAAAATGAAACTAGAAATGAAAATGAGTGATGAATTTTATTTTAAAGTTGCTTTGAAAGAGTAATTATTTGGCATATTCAGTATTTAGTTATTTCCCTGATAATCATCTTAAAAATATTTCAGTGCAAAGTTAGAAAAGTTGAAAACAACATTTTGCAGCAAAGATGTGAAAGGACTCAGCTAATTAAATGAATGAGTCTTGCCAGACTGAATGGCTAAAAGATCTTGCTGTCGCCATGGTGCCCAAATTCCCATGCCACACACATACTTGGTAATAAGACAACTGATAACAGCTGAGGGAACTGAAACCACAACAGATTATTGAGTAAAGTTGGTCAAATTATTTCCTTCCTGTTCCAGTAAAACAAAGATGGAATGAATCCACACCAAATACACTGCAGGGTAAAATTTACAGCATACATGTTTGAGGCATTTAGGGTTTCTGCATCAACGAGAAACCAATATTAGACTTTGTGCTACGTACCTTTTTTTTTTGTTAATTGTAGCTATTTGCTGGTACCTGTTTGATGAACATTAAGCAATACTAATTTATAGTACCCCCGGTAAATTCTTCCATTCCTGTACAAATGTACAGCCTTTTAAACACAATAACGAAAATTAATTAAAAATAGAGAATCATATGACTGACTAATCAATATACGTTAAAATAGAACTGATGTAGTTAGGCATGTGAAATAGATGAAATGTGGAGAAGTGCACGTACCTCAACTACCGGGGTATATTACTCACATGTAGCTGCAACTTTTCGGTAATTTGTCGTGAATCTTGAACATGTTTATGGCCTGAAGGCTTCAGTACCGCAACATTTATAAATACAACTGTCTATATTTTAGTTTTTGTTTACTCATTTGTTTGTTCTTCATGAATATTTAATTATATAGATAATGATGTAATGATATAGTGACATAATTACGAACAAATATCGTGCGAGAATCCTGGTACTTTTCACTAGTGAATATAGGGTATCAAATCTTCCCCATAAGTACAAAGGCACCGCAGAGATGTATGATAAAGAAAAACAACCAATGTTAACCTATAAGTCATCATGAAAAAGCAAACGGGCAGAAAAGGCCAGACAAGAAAAATAATCACATCTTCTTAATGAAACCATGACAACAGAGTAGGAAATAAGAGGATAAATTGAATTGT